GGCCCGAGGCGCTGGAGCCCGGGGGCCGCTGTCCCAGCCCAGGTTTGCTCCGACCCCTGCCTGGCGCCCGCAGAAATCCCGGGGCCCCCGCTCCACGGCCACCGGGGAGGCGGCCTCCCGGTCCCCGGGGCAGACACCACGCGCTCTCCGTGCCGTGGGCTCTCTGAGCCCGGGGCAGGAGGTGGCGGGAGCTCAGGTTGCACTTGGCCCAAAGTTGAGTGTTTTTGTGTCCTCGCTGCCAAGTTGAAGGTTTTCCAGGGTGGGTAGGTGCCTGACTGAGTTCATGAGTCTCTGCTGCTAGTGACACAGTTAAGACAAAAGGACCCGAAGCAGACACCTCCACGAGACACCAAACTCATACCGAACATGAAGCAAACTGGGCAAAAGCATCTCAGTTAGTCATGGTTTTTTTGAGATTTTGAAGTTCAGCATTGGGGTCGCCTCCGACTGTCGCCTCGGAAGTGCTTCTAGTTATTAGATATTTGTCAACACTGTTGCCACTGATCCTCAGAAGGATACTCCGTTCATTAGGGAGTAGCCAGTTTTCTTGTCAGAGACGTTTGGAAACCGGCTTTTTAAAAGTTTCCCTGTAGGATCAGCGTGAAAGATTGTGATCATGTACGAAACATTTAATGATTGACAATAGGAGTGGGTTATTATAAATGCAGTGCTGTTTTCTTTTCTTTCTCTCGCTCTTTGTTTGGATCGGACGCTCTTGTCCCTGAAGTTCGTTCCTGATCATCACAGGGTAGAATAAAATATTTTGTTGTGGCATCTGGTTGCTCTGTGAACTGAGACACCTCTTTACCTATCTGCACTTGGTCTGAAACAAGCATTTCATTCTGTCTAGCAGGGCCTTATTAATGTTAGTCTTTAAGTTTGCCTTTTGTTGATGAAACAAATAACGAAGGAGCAGCAGGCCGGAGCCATTTGGACATTGTGATGTTGCTAATGGCTCCTTGATGACAAACAAGCCTTCGTCCCCTTGGAGCTTCCTGTTGGGCCTCCTTCCTTCCTGGGACTTAACAGAATAACCAGTCTTACTGCTGCTGCCCTTTCCATTGCTTTCAGTTGGAAAGGTGTCCATAAACAGCGTATGTTAGCACGTATAAGAAATTGGAAAAGGCTTTGATTAGTTTATAAAGCTGTGTGCTTGGGATATCTGGAAGTTTGCGCTGGAACTTGCTAACTCTGTCCCTGAGAGTGGGGTGTGGGTGAGATTTACTTTTTTAAAACCTTGATTTGGTTCCATGTGAATGTACTACTCATTCAGTAAGTAAATGAATAAATAATAGTTGAGTAGAAGAGATGGAAAGTTGTCAGACACTTGTACCTAAAAGCCGCTTACCTTATTGGTCTTTTTAAATGACATCTGAAAGAAATGGGGTTCAGACGAGATCTTCACATGTACAACCAGAAGATAACCAGCTTTTGTTACTTTAATGGATTTTCTATTTAGATTATTTTGTGAGTGGAGGGCTCCAGGAAGCTGGTGAAGTTGACCTCTTGTACAGGTGTGCATACTTGGAATAGCAGTTAATTTGAAGAGAGCGTTTTTTAGGGAAGATCAGGGTCTTGTTAGTAAGTGAGCCCTCTAAGAAATATGGACCTGGTGTCCAGGGTTCCTCCACCTCATCGATGGCACGTAGGGTCGTGAGGTGCAGGATTTTGACGTGGATGTAAGGCGTTCATACAGGGTTCTTTTTTTTTTTTTTTAATCCTTTTGCATTTTAGGAAATCACTGAAACTTAGAGAAGGGAGCCGAGTAAATCTGTCTAGGAATAGTCTTCTTGACAGTTTAGAAATAGGCTGAATATAAAAATTGTAAACGGGTGAATAAATGTTAGTAAAAGTTAATCGGGTGACTCAGCCGTTGCCATGACTTCAGGTCATGAAACAAGTGGAGACAAACGGTGACGTCACGGGTCTTGGTTGGCTGGTTCTTGTGCTGAGCACTCTGGTTAAGAAGTTTGGGGTCTTGGCTTCACTGCTTGTTTTCTGTGCTCTATGACTTCGATTGGCACAGGTCCTTCCCTTTGGGACAGAAAGTGCACTTGAAGGCTGCTCGCTTCCTTTGCTGATACGAAAACCTGCTAAGTTCTCTTCGGTTTTGANAAGTGCACTTGAAGGCTGCTCGCTTCCTTTGCTGATACGAAAACCTGCTAAGTTCTCTTTGGTTTTGATTNCTTCACTGCTTGTTTTCTGTGCTCTATGACTTCGATTGGCACAGGTCCTTCCCTTTGGGACAGAAAGTGCACTTGAAGGCTGCTCGCTTCCTTTGCTGATACGAAAACCTGCTAAGTTCTCTTCGGTTTTGATTTTTTAAAAAAAAAAAAAACAACCTCTGTTTTAAAATGAACAACCCAGCAGCAACAGACTTAATCTTAGAGGATTTTTAAAAAACTTATTTTAGGTACAAATGATACAGATTTCTTGAATATAGGGACGTAGTGATATTTGGAATTCTTCAATTTCACTTATAAGGAAACGTGCTCAGAGGTAAATCAGGTCACTTTTGGCCAGAATTTGGGACTTGTTTGAATTCAGTGCTCGATGTAATTCATGACTGGGCAATCCTGTTGTTAATAGGAAATTCCTACAGGAAACAGAGACTAGACTGATACTGGGCAGGAATACAGGTTTATTACTTAGGTTAATGAAGTTGACAGAATGGTTCTAGTTTTTAAAAGATTTTATTTTTTAGTAACAGCACTGATACTTTTAAATTGTTGCTAATGGTTAGACCCTTTCTTTTACAGGTAATTTAATAGGCTGTGTCACATACCAAAACTCACATTTTAAGCCTTTTTTCCCTTCTCATTTCAAGTTATCTATAAAACTGCCACCCTGTAACTCCTTAAATTCCCTTCACATGCGACACGTGCAGCCTAAATCCCGGCCCATTCCCTGAGCTTCCTGAGCCCAGCCGTGCTTGCTGGAAAACACGTTTGTCTTGTCTTGCGCTGACCTGTGGCGTCGTCTTTGTCTCTGGGCCTGTGCCCGTTGTCCCCGACGGGAAGCCGGGGCTCGGCAGTGCACCTTCCCCCTGCATCCCCGCTCTGGGAACGGGAGCTGCCGTCGGGGTGGGTGTGTTTCTGAAGGTGATGGGTGCTGTGAATTGTTGATGCTCTGAAGGACATCGTAGGTGAATTATTTTAGACATTTTTGTGTGGTCCTTTATAATATAATCCTCTGTCTTCTTAAATAAGTGCTGGGTTTTTATGACTGCATTTCTCCTAAGTAAATACTGAGATTCCCAAGTTAGAGGCTGGCACCCTGGCTGCCACTGACCCTGCCTCCCCCGCCCGCAGGGGGCCAGCGCCGGAGCGTCCAGCCCTTCAGCGACGAGGATGCCTCCATCGAGACCATGAGCCACTGCAGCGGCGACAGCGACCCCCCCAGCCTCGTCGAGGACGGTAGGCCGCCTCCCTCTGTTGGGGGGGGGCGGATTGTCTGGGAGCGAGGCAGACAGGTGCTGCCCCCCCCACCCGAGTGACAAGGGCCATTGGTTGCTGTTGTCCTAGGACCAGAGGCCCTTGACGAGGAGGGGACGCAGGAGGACCTGGAGTACAGGCTGAAGGGGCTCATTGACCTGACCCTGGACAAGAGGTGGGCCACGCACGCTCTGCGCCTTCCCTGTGCCACGTGCGCAGTTCTGACTCAACAATGTGGTTTTTTAAAAGCCTGATTTGTTTACTTTGGATGTTTAAATGTTTCTTGTTTCTTTGGACTTTGGATGTGAATAGAAACATGCCTTAGAATTCAGATTGGTGGGCCCAGGTTAGGCGTTGTTCTAGCGGAATAGCAGGGGCTGCGTTTGGCTGTAGCCAAGGTGGCCTTGTTGAGTTAAAGGTTAATTTCAACTAGGAAGGACACCTAAGCTTCCCTTGCCTCTTGTTCAGCAGCTTTGTTATGGACGTGAGAAATATCAAAAATAAGTCGTCTTCTTCCCAGTAGCCCTGGGACTCACTTAAAACAAATAGATTAAAATGCCCAGATGATGAAACAGGAACTCTAGACTTGTGGTGTTAAAGAAATGTGAGTTTACTTTAAATGTAGAGGGTCTTCCTGTGACGTGTTATATGGTACTAGAGGGGAACTGTCTTGCCTATTGAAACCATGGAGTACTATGCAGTCATTTAAAGTTGTGGCTGTAAACCATAAACGGAAACCTTCTGTGATATAAAGTAGCTTAAAGTCTGTGTAATAAGGTGAGTTGTAGATGAAAATTATATTATTTAAAATGTTTTTGCTCACTGACAAATAGATTTTTTAAATCTCTAAGCAGAGAAACATGAAAGGGGAAATGAGCTAAGTTTTTAACAGCCATTGACAGTGCACTCCAGCCGGTCTTCCTTCTCCTACATTGTGTTTTCAACAGTGCGAAGACCAGGCAGGCGGCTCTGGAAGGTCTTAAAAACGCACTGGCTTCCAAACTGCTCTCTGAATTCATCCTGGAGAGAAGGATGACCCTGACCGACAGCATTGAGCGCTGCCTGAAGAAAGGTACCGTCCCCACGTTCGAGCCGCAGGCTCGGGACTCGCGAGGCACGTGCTCCCTTTGCAGTGCCGTTTGTTAACAGCACCGATGACTGGCTTCCCCTTACACCTGTAACCGGCCAGGGAGGCGCCGGGCTAGTGAAACTCGAGGCCAGGCTCATTAGAGGCTTCTCTCTGTGGTAAACAGCTTGAAACCAGGAAGGACGGGGTGACCGTCACCCTTCGTTGTGTGAGACCAGGGGGTGGCCGCTGTCATGGGTATGAGATGTCAACAAAAGCTAGTATTAAAAAACCCAGTCTCCATTTTTCTGAAATTGAAAAAGTGTCATAATTTTCTAGCTCCTTTCCCCTTGTACTTATTTAAAACAATCATACCTGTGGCTGACATTTTTAGATTGTCCCTCGGAATATTTTAATTCTAGAACTTTATAATAGAGATTCTGGGATTCTTATTGTTACAATAGTAGGACTTTCAAGACAAAATAAAGGCCTTAAAGATTAAGTCTGGTATTACCAGACTTTTCCGTTTTAGGAGCCACCACAATTTAAAAGATTTGGAGCTGCCACCTTAATTATTTTGCCAAGTAAGAACATTTTGAAAAGAATTGCCTTCTATTATTATGACTTCATTAACAGAATATTTCTGGCACTAACCGTGTAGGAAGCACACATGTCCCTTTAAATCGAATGAGATTCGCTTTATGCCCTTACCGTCCCTGCGCCTCAGGTGACCTTGGTCTTGCTGAGCCTGGCGCTCACTGTGCAGCGTGAAGCCGGGCGGAGACTGGCCCAGGCTGTGGAGCTTGTTGGTGCGTGTCTCATAGCAGAGCCACCTTTCCTGAGGGGCTGCAGTGGCTTTGTTAAAGGTGTTTCCGTGGAAACTGGCTCCTGTAAGGTGGTTGGGCTAGGTGACCTTTAAAAATTCCATTCCGTCCTGCACATTTTATACATTTTTAATTGATCATAATGTCACAACTTAAGTTCAGAATGTGCCCAAGTCCTTCAGCGCATGCAGTTCTCGAAAGAGTTAATTCCCATTTACCTTTATACTAACGTGTCTCCGCGCTTTTAAAGAATGCTTCATTCCCCCTCGCTGGGCCCTGGAGGTTAGTTTGCCCCTGGGCTGGGGGGGAGTGGCGCCGGGGCTCCGGTCTGGCGGGGGGCTGGGGACTGCGCATCGCTCGTCCGCTGGCAGCGCCCCGTTTTCTGAGCTGGGCGCCGCCTCCCTGCTCCCTTGAGGTCCCCGTCGATCTGCACTTTACCGAGGAGGGTTGGTTCGGGCACAAGAGCGATGAGGTGGGCCCGGGCGGCTGAGGAGCGGGGTCTGCGTCCAGCTCCAGCTCTGCCGGGGTTTCGAGTCCCCGCCACAGCTGCCCCCCGCCTCCTCACAGGTAAAAGCGACGAGCAGCGTGCGGCGGCCGCCCTGGCGTCCGTGCTGTGCGTTCAGCTGGGCCCCGGCATTGAGAGCGAGGAGGTTTTGAAGACCCTCGGACCCGTCCTGAGGAAAGTCATCTGCGACGCAGCGGCCAGCACCCAGGCGCGGCAGGCGGTCAGTCGGGCTTTGAATGTGTTGGTCTGTCCGGGCCGCACACCCGGGCGTGCGGATGGTGACAGGGCAGGCGTAGGGTTAGAGATCCTGGGACGGCCTGGGGGGGCCAGCGACGGGGCGCGTCATGAAACCTCAGGGGTGCCGAGCACTGTTCACGTGGCCGCCTGGTCGGAGCCGCGCTCCCAGGGTTGGTGCCCGTGTGTGTCGCCAGCAGACTGCCTGTAGAGGCCGTATTGAGTCATTGTACTGGGTGAGCTGCACCTTGGTGATGTCCTGTACTCACTTTCGCCCCCTTTTTCCCAACAAAAGGCAATTATAGGATTCCCACCCTCTTTTCAACATGTTCCAAAATAAGTAAAATCTGAATTAATGAAGTGCTTCTCTAGGTGAGAAGTTTAAGGATGATTATTTAAGTTTGATGAGATTTCTGCTCCTGGCTGCTTATATTTTGGAAGCTAAATTTTTTTGGAAGTTTCATAGTGGACTTTACATTAAAACAAATGAATATAAGTGATTTAAAAAACCTGTAGCAAACTTAACGTGTTGAAGACTTTTAACAGGGAGAGTGTAGTGTTCTTTATCCCAAACGTCGGAGCTTCGTCTCTGCCTCGAGGTGGAGCTGAAGTTTGCAGCGATCTGCTAGGTGAGCGCAGGCCGGCAGAGAGACACGCGGTAACCTTCTGACGTCGTCTCCGAGTTTGGTAGCAGAGTTTGGGCCGAAACCCGCCCCTTCCCTTAGCTCTTGACCTGCAGTCTCCTCTCTTTTTAATACTGTGCTTGGAACCCAGTGTAGTTGTGCAGTTGAGAAAATTTTCACATTGAGTTACAACAGCAGGAAGCTGTAGAATTAATAAGATGACAAACATTAATGTCTGTGTGTTTTTTATTTTTTTAGTGTGCAACATGCTTTGGTGTTTGCAGTTTTATTGCCACGGATGACATCACTGTGAGTAGAGGCCTTTGACTGTAGTTACCTTCCCATTCCTAATTTAAGATGCTCATCCTACGTCTTGTTCTTACGCATTAGGAGCTGTTTTCAACTCTGGAGTGTTTGGAGAGTATCTTCTCAAAGTCCTACAAAGAAAAAGACACTAGCGTCATCGGCAGCTCCCCCAGTACAGTGCTCTACATCAGCTCGCTCCTCGCGTGGACGCTGTTGCTGACCATATGCCCCATCAGTGAGCTGAAGAAAAAGCTGGAGATGTGTGTTTTCAATTCCATGTTTTATAAAAGCATTGGTCGACATCTTTATGTGTGTTCACACAAGTAATAACTACTGTCTTCCAGGCACTTCCATAAGCTTCCAAGCCTCCTGTCTTCCGACGACGTGAACATGAGAATAGCCGCTGGGGAGTCATTGGCGCTTCTGTTTGAATTGGCCCGAGGGATGGAGAGTGTGAGTATCCTGTGGTCACAGGGACGAGTGGTCACAGGGACGTTGTCTCCTCTCGTCACCCTCACAGTGCAGCGCGGGTGGGACCTGGAGCCTGGCCAGCTTGAGACCTGGTGACCGAGCACCTGCTTTTTGGCAGCAGCAATGTAGTTCTTTTAAAAACCAAAACCAGCCCTTGCTGGTTTTTCTCAGTGGTTAGAGCGTCGGCCAACAGACTGAAGGGTTCCGGGTTCGATTCCCAGTCACGGGCACGCACCTGGGTTGCAGGCTTGATCCCTGGCCCTGGCATATGTGGGAGGCAACTAATCGATGTGTCTCTCTCACATCCATGTTTCCCTCTCTCTCCCTTTTACTCTTTCCGAAAAGTAGTGGAAGAAATATCCTCAGACAAGGATTTAAATAAAGAAGAATAAATAATAACTGAAGCCAGTGGGGTTGGTAGAGCAAAACAGGTTCAGCAGCGCCATCTATTCACGGGAGCATCATGTTTGCTGCAGCCTGGAGGCTGCGAGATCGTTCAGATGTGGCACATTGAGGTGACTCAGGCGCAGATGCTTCACCATAAATGTTAGATGTGTGATCTATTAAGACAGCATAGGTTTGGGATCAGATGAGTTTAGTCACTGTTTTACTAAAGGTGGCACTTTATTTTTTTTAATTTCAGAGAGAGGAAGGGAGAGGGAGAAAAAGAGAAACATCGGTGATGAGAGAGTCATTGATCGGCCACCTCCTGCACGCCCCCGACTGGGGATGGAGCCCACAACCCGGGCCTATGCCCTGACCGGGAATCGAACCTCGATCTCCTGGATCCTAGACGGATGCTCAGCCGCTGAGCCACGCTGCTCGGGCTAAAGATGGCCCTTTAGACTGGGCCCTGTGCTTTGCAGTCTCCCCGCACCATCACTCGTGGGTGCTCGTTTCCACAGCCAGCCCGGAAGTGTGTGAGTCTGTGACAGGCTGCCCGCTGTCCTGGTGGTGTCCACTTTTGCACCCATAGTCCTGTGCTCTAAGGACACCCTCGTCTCAGGCTTTCGGGACATTTGGTCACCCTGATTGTGACCTCTGTTAGGAACCTTGAGTTACTTACTAGGTCTTGTTAATTTAAGGAGAAAGACTGTTTCCAGAATGAAACCTCTGCAGTTCAATGATGTGACAGTGAGTAGCGTCCACTAGGGTGCGCCCTTGCTCTGGGCCTGTGTTTAGGCTCGAAAACTGAAAACTTCTCCCTGGGAAGTGTCTTTTCCCAGCACCACCCTCCCCCTCTTTTTTTTGAAGCAGAGCAGGTAGGAATGAAAAGGAAGTTGTTGATGCCGTCAGTAGCTGATCTCTTTATGTGAGAAACTGAACTCAAGCCCAGTGATCAATTTAATTTTACGGAACGAGTTAATGGCTCCTTAACCTCAAGGCACAGAAATGAGAGTCCCAGTGTTTAACCTTTCATTCCTCTACTGGCTAGAAATGGTCATCTCTTTTTCTCTTGAAATGTATCTTAACAGTGATGCATTATGAGTGAACTCATAATGCAATTTAAATTATAGGTGTTGAATATGTTTACTTAAATTTGTGTAAGCATATATTCCCGCCTACGTATCTCCTGTTCCCTGGCTTAGTAAGTCATGAGAGAGAGCCAGGAGTGTTTCATGGACCCAGGTCCTTGTCAAGGACAGAAATGAACTGGCTTATAAATACAGCTGAGTATTTGCTTGCTCTTTGTTAAAGAAATGAGCTTTCTGCAGGAAGCGAATGGGTGGAGATGGGTCGCTATGGGGGTGTTTAACAATCGAACCAGGTGTTGATCTCGCAGGGTGATTTAAAGGAGGGTCCTCGTAGCGACGTGTGGTGTGGAGTCACTCAGAGCCTCTTGCTGACATAAGTGTTTTGCGCTGTTACTAACTAGGGTATCTACCAGTGATGGATCTGCCTGGGATCCATCGTAGAAAAAGGCGATCCACTGCCTAGTTCTTAGAACAGATTCAGGGGATGCGTAGTTTTTTAAATTGTTGGTTTTTTCTTTCATATGTTTTAAAATCTTCCATACATTTTTTTGAGAATACTATAAAAAGACAAGTGGGCAATGAAATGAGTAGAAAACTGCCAGTGCCTGAATGTTAGGATGGAGTCAGACCTATTGGAATTTAAATACAGAGATGAGTGTAACTGATCTGCTTCAGTGTCTCATCTGCTTAGGTACTTGCTTTTCTAGATACGATCTTCATGGGCGTTGTCTCCAGCTAACTCAGACCTGGGAGGCTGAGGTGGAGCATCTCAGGAAAACATTTGTTGGAAGAGTTGATAACATTCCATCTCTGAAGTATCGACAATAGGACAGTATTCGTGTACTTACTGGTTAGAACGTCTCTTGTGTTCATTTCAAGCTCATTTTCCTCCAGCATAACAATTGTTCTCATTTGAGATGGTAAAAGAAATCACATACTTTTCAAGATTAAACAGCTATATGTTTAGTTTGAAGAATATCCAGAATAAGAGCTGCTTATTTTAATAGGATAAGCTAAATGGTTATTACCACTAAAGCAGAAAATACAGTCCTGAACTGGAGGTTGATCGGCTGAATAACTGAATCATCATTTAGTTTTTAATGTTGTAAAATGTAGCAAGGGAATAAAAACGCCCGAAGTAGAGACTTCATAAGAGTGTAGCCACTCAAACTGGTACAAAGAAGCCCCCAGTCAACTCAGAGCAACAGCAAATAGTGGTCATTCTGTGGCCTCCGTCCAAATGCGATAAAATATCTTCTTACCTTAAATAATGTGCCACTTGAGTTGTGCCTATGGTGTAAGTGCTTTGCTGCTGGTTTGAACTATGGCCGGTGCATCGTAGATGAGCTATTGCGAGGGCATCACAGAGCGTGCACTGGAGTGAGACCGGTTGGGTCTGGGAACGTGTATGGGGCCCTGGGGAGCGAAGGGTAGGAGAGGAATCGACCCACGCGCCTCTGACCTGCTGAATTTGAAAGCCCGGGCCGTTCTGACCACAGCAGGGGCACAGTGTTTCTCGAGTGCACCTGGATGTGCTTGGAAGGGGATGCTCGTTTCATGGGAGTGGGTCCCCGTGTGGTGAGGATTTCCGGGTTAAATTCTGCAGGGGAATAAAAATAGGTTTATGCTGCCAAGATCAGTGAGGCAGCTTGGGGATTTGTGTTGTCTGGGCAACGCTGCCGGGTGTCTTCCACGGCGGACTGTCCTGGTTGGCGCTAAAAGACATTGGGGGGAAGGAAACCAGGGACAGACGAAACCAAACTTTTCCTCACCAGGACTTTCTTTATGAAGACATGGAGTCGCTGACTGAGATGCTTAGGGCCTTGGCCACCGACGGAAATAAGCACCGGGCCAAAGTGGACAAGAGAAAGCAGCGGTCGGTGTTCAGAGACGTCCTGCGGGCCGTGGAGGTGAGCCCCTGAGAGCCGTCGGAGCTTCAGGCCAGACTTGACTTCACCCTTGACCAAAATCATTTTCTCATTTTAATACTGAGTGGGTTTTTAACAACAGAAATGAAAGCTGCTATTTTTTCAACAAACACAAACTTAATTCTGATGTGTGAAGGTATTCTTTTATTGGGTTTAAAATATTAAATTGTCATAGTGATGGAAATGTATTTCACTGCTGTGCTTGGCCTTCACGTAAGCAAGGTGCTTAGCCCAAGCATACTTGGTGTAGAGTTTTCTGTGAATAGTAAGTTATTCCTATCTCAAGTATCTCTTGGATATAAAGGGCCGTTCTTGCACTAAGTACATCACCAAAGGGTCGTTGAGCCTGACCTGCCTGTGAAATTGGAATGGGAGTTACACGCAGATGTGAGGGTTCCAGTGATTCTCATACGTAGCCTGCTGAGCTACTGTCTTCCCTTTAATCTGTGTCTGAAAAAGTAAAACCTAGGGTTTAAATTAGCATAGAGATCCTCTGGGGTCTACCTTTTGGGTTAATGATATTTACTCCGGGTTTTAGAATCTTAAAAAAAAGGCTAACTTGAGCAGATGTCCATCTAAAAACTCGTCCTACTCTAGCTAGTGTGCCTGCATCCCCGCGTGAAGCCAGCCGCTTTCCTGACTATCGGGACTATCCCCGCGTTGGAGCCCTGTGGCCGCAGGCTCCAAAGACGGGAATGGTTTGTAGTTGCTCAGAAAGTCGTGACCACAGAAACGGGGTATGTCCTGGATGTCCTGGCCAATACAGATACTTCACTTTTTCTTCAACTCTGTTTAGTGCTGTTGAAAATTAAAAACTTCCACAACAACGCAGCTCGCCCTGCGCTGTGGTCTCAGCGCTTGGGGCTGGGTGTTGTACTGAGTCACCTTTTGAGTCGGTAGCGAGACCAGTGATTGGAGATGTGACCAGCTGTTGTGCTTTTCGGTCGGTTTTTGTGGTTACGATTTTGTAGTGAGTCCTCCACTTCGTAAACGTGGATCGAGCCTCAGTGTGAGACTGAATGTTTATCCACACTGAGCTGTGCCTTCATCTCTCACAACTGGAGAAGTGGTGCCCTCCTGGGGGGGGTGCTTCCAAGTCTGCACGTCTCGGGGACAGAGGCCTCAGTCCAGACCGTCTCCTTCACTTCTAGGTGCGCAGTCTGTCTAGAGACTGTTTATGTAGGATCTCTTCAGCCTTTTATTTTCTCTTATAATTGTGGTTTTTCTGTTGTCTAGGACCGGGATTTCCCAACAGAAACTGTTAAATTTGGTCCTGAGCGCATGTATATCGATTGCTGGGTCAAGAAACATACCTACGACACGTTTAAGGAGGTCCTGGGGTCGGGGATGCAGTACCACCTGCAGGTGAGGCGCCTCGAAAGGAGGGGCGGTTTCGGGCGTGCCCCCCCGGCTTTGCGGGGAGCTGCATGAACACGGCGTCAGCACCGTGCAAACAGAAAGCCCACTTCTGAAGGTGACAGTATCCTCTTGGCTGTGCCCGGTGTCCCCTGGGCGCGCACGTTGATGCCTTGTGTGGAAACAGCGGGCGCAGCTCCCTCGGTCCAAGGCCTCAGGAACAGTGTCTCAGGGAGAACAGTCGGGATCCACGTTTACGCCCCGCGTCACTTGTGTCCGTCAGATTCCACTTTCTGTAGTAAAACGCTGATGTTTAACTGGGCCTCCTCCCCTTTTCTCTCCCGAAGTCGAATGAGTTCCTCCGCCACGTGTTTGAACTTGGCCCCCCCGTGATGCTCGACACCGCGACGCTCAAAACGATGAAGGTCTCCCGCTTTGAAAGGGTGCGTCTTACCTCTTGTTTTCATCAGACCCCAGGGCCCCACGCAGCGCGGCCAGGCTGTGTCCTGCGGGCGCCGGGCTCGGCTGGGCCGGGCTTTGGTTCTTCCTGACGCACCTGGACCGGCTCTACCCAGAGGGGCCCACGTGCAGACTTCCAGCCCACACCCAGCTCTCTCAGCATAGGGATTATTTTCATTTCCATCTCTTACTCTGTGAAGTTTCTATATTTAAGAATATTAACACAGTGCTTCTTTGGTATCAGATAACTGAGCAAGTACTAGGCTCATTTTACAAATGAGGAAACTGAGCTCAGAGAGAGTCATGAACGAGGAATTCATTTCATTTTAACATTTCAAAATTTCTTGTATTATTAATTTTTACTGGGGTAAAATTCACATAACAGAGCATAAACTATTTGAAAGTGGAGATTCAGGGCATTTAGTGTACTCACAGTGTTGCACAGCCGCCTCCTCTGTCCAGTTCCAGATGTTTTCACCTCAAGAGGAGACTTAGAACCATGAAGCATTCACCCCCCGCCCCCTCGCCTTTCCCGGCCGCTGGTAACCACTAGTGTGCCTTCTGCCCTATGGACTTACCTGTTCTGGGTGTTTCGTGTCCTGCCTGGCTCTCTTCACCTAGATCACGCTGCTCAGGTCCACCCGTGTTGTAGCAGGTGTCCGTGCTTCAGTCCTTTTGCTGGCTGAGTAGTATTCCATTGTACGGACACACCCGTGTGTATCCATGGAGCAGCTGGTGGAATTTGGCCTGTTTGCACTGTCCCCTGTGGATGGTGCTGTGAGCACTTGTGTGCGGGTTTTTGTTAGAGTAGCTGTTCTCAGTGCTCTTGGGGACGTGCTTAGGAGTGGAATCGCTGGGCCTTACGGTTGCTCTGTGTGTAACGTTTTAAGGCATCTTGTTCATAGCGCTGCCCTCTTTCACAGTCTCACCGCCGTGTGAGGGTTCCTGCCTCCACATCCTTACCAACAACGCTCGTGACCCCCTTTAAATTTGCCGTCCTAGTAGGTGTGAAGCACTTATGATATTTTTATAGAATTTTAAATTTAACCATTTTTATGGCTACATCGATTGTTGGGTTTTTAATAAATACTTTGGTGCGCATCGCCAGGCCCCTTCCCGAGTCGTCCTGTCCTTCTCAGTTGTTCCCAGCAGGGAGTGAGAGCTGTAGCTACTGCACACTTGACCGCCTGGGATCTTATAGTTTAAGGAGCTAGTTAGTTTAACTGGCATTAAAATAGAACTTCGTCGTATTTTTTGTAATTGACAGCATGGTTGGAATATTTTCCACATGAGTTCATGATTTGACATTTCTTTGATCGATGTTGATGCCCCTTTTTTATTTTTACTTTTTTCACTGGAATTTTCTTAATAGAGATACCCACTAACTATCATGTGTGCTAATTTCCCCCTTGTTCGTTTTGAATGTGTGCGTTTTATAAACATGTAAAATATTTACAGAGTCAAATTAGTTTGTTTCTCTCCCTTGCCATTTGTATTCAATTTTTTAAAATTTTGTGAGACCTCCTAAGCCTTTGTGGGTCACAGTGTTTTCCTTTCTCCATTTCAGCATTTATATAATTCTGCAGCCTTCAAAGCCCGAACAAAAGCTCGAAGCAAATGTCGAGATAAGAGAACAGATGTTGGAGAATTCTTCTAGATTTTCTGCATTTGAAGACTACTTCCTCATTTCCAGTTTTTTCCTTTTGTAATTTCTAAGATATTTAAACTCTGTAGACAGTTTTTATCTCGGGTCAGCACAGATTGCTTTTGTAGCAGGGGTTGTGTTACTTGTAATTTAATGTATAGTATTGCAAATAGTGAGTTCTGATTATTGAATATTCTCTGTAAATATTGTCAGTAAACCATGAATAAGATGTTTGTAATGTTAGATCATTTCTATTTATGAAGAAAGCAAAAACATTGTATTCCACAATAAGAAAACTATTAGCCAGGATGAAATATTCTGTGGTTGTCAGATACTGATTTAATGATACAGATATTACAAGGTATTTAATTTAAGATCTTAGACAAACGAGTTCTGGTTACAGTTTTGGGAGCTGGTTCTTCTGGAAAAGCTGCTATGTTTTTCATTGTAAATGGAACCTGATGATTTTCATTTTGTCGCTGGGATCAACATAGGGAACTCAGCCCGGCGCGCAGGAGTTCTGGCATCGCAGGGTGCTGGCCTTGACCGCTGGGGGCAGTGACACTAATTCCACCTGTTGTGTAAGACCTGTACTTTTATTTTGAAATAAAATTCTTTTCACACTAAAAGTTTCTTTTCTAATAGAAGAAACATTATTTGTGGGTTTGAGGTACAGGGTTCAAAATGATGAAGTTGGGGAGGGAGGGAGACGACAAACATGAAAATAGGTGAAAAGTGTGGCTATATCACGGGGATTCCGGTTCCCAACTAAGACGACACCGGCTGCTAGGTGGCCCTTCACTATGAAAAGTGTAAGGGTTCTGACAGTGTGGCAGGGTTTGTTATTAAGCTCTTTAAATGACACCGCACTAGCAGCATCTCCAGAAGTCACAGGCGTCGGCCCAAAATGAGGTCGGTGCTCTGACCAGTCACAACCTGTCAAGCACCCTCCCGCCTGTGCAGGGCCTGGCTGGACCCTGGACGTGGGGACCCGCTTAGTCCCCACCCCCCCGGGGGCAGGATTAACACTTCCCAGGGTGGTTAGGTTCCAGGACTGAGCAGCCAGCCAGCGCCCCACACCAGACCGTCCGTTGCCTCTTCAAAGCAAGGAGGGTTTTCGACAGACCAGGTAGTGTGGAGGCTGTTTTTAAAACACGATAATTAAAATACTAGCTCACAAGCATTTTCATGTTTTAAGAAATTGGGCCTGACTTCCCGGTATAACGTGCTTTTGAACCCATCCTCGGGTAGAGATGAAACTTAAGACAATGCCACTCCTTTGCCCCAAAAGTAGAGTGGGGCCCAAACGCAATATTGGATGTAACAAATTTGGTGGAGCGAACGTTGGGTGCTCGATACTGTGTTTCAGGGGCGGCTGGTGTCCCTCTGGCCCCAGCAATGGCAGGTGGGACTATAAAGCCTGGGGATCTGGAGACCTCCCAACCCTTGGCTGGGGCAGGCAGCCTGGGGCCGCCTCTGGCTCGTGGGCTCTCCCGTCTCCTCACTGCGGCTCCCACGTCCACCAGGGGGCAGAGCCGCTTGGCTTGTGCGGGAGGGAGCCCCCGGGCGGCTGCGGGTCCTGAGAAAGGACCCTGCGGGCGCAGAACTCAGAGCCCAGCCTCTGCAGAGGAAGCTGGTGGGACCAAGTGCTTCCACCCCCTCCGTGGGTCTGCGGCCACAGCCTCCCGTCGCCCTTGTTTCCGCAGCTAGCAGCGGCCAGGAGTCCTCTGACCTGCCGTCGTCCTGGCCACAATGTCACGACCTTGCCCTGCCCGGGTTTGCTGCAGTCCCTGTTGTCCCGGAGGCCTGCGCGAGCTGGTGTCACAGTGGCGGCGGCAGCCTGCTGGGGATGTTCATCTCGGGGAACACATCGGCGGCCCTGCTGGACCCCGGGCGGCCTCCACGGTCACAGCGGCCAGACAAGGACACGAGCTTCAGTAAGAGCCCGTCAGCGCCCGCTCAGGCCCAGGCAGGCCGGTTCAGTCTCAGGCATGGTGTCAGTGACACAGTTACTAAAAAAAAGCCTTAGCGGCCATGGGGGAAAGTCAGGACCTGGCATCTCGCTGCTCGGCTGAGTCTCCGCTGGATTCAGACGGCCGTTTGGGGGGTTCAAGGGCCTCGGGAGCAGCGTCGTGAGCGGGAGGAGAGGAAGCGCTCGGATTTCTTGCTGTGGTTGCTTCTGGATAGTTTGGGTTTTTCTGTCCTGGTGACGTAGCAGCCAGAGCTCGCTTTTTTTGTAAGTAACGTGCATGCTGTTAGGCTCCCGAGACTGAATTACGATTCTCGAGGCTGCCATGCTTTTTGCTGCATGTGCTCCGTGCTTTTTTTAGCTTTTGATGGAAATGATTTAGACTCGGTTTGAAAGAGTACCTCCTGAGTGTGACGGGGCACAGACTCAGTGGACTAAGGGACCCATTGCCGCGACCCACTCCCTAAGCTTGCTGTTCGCTCTGTGGGAGGCCCAGGTGTGACTCCTGGTACCGTGGCAAACAGCATTATTTCTGGGCCTTGATGCCAAGGACCGGTGGGAAAAAATGAAGAGCAAAGCCCTTTTTTGTCGACAACTATCTATTTGTCAGAATATTTGTTTGTAGGTAGCCCAAGAATTCCTACACAACAAAAAGAGTGAGCTGTGAGCACGGACCTAAACCAGAGGAAAATGAAACTACTTAGGCGTCTGAGCTCAAAGTATTGGAAAGTGTTTCATTAAAAGGAGGCTGCTTTGCCCTGGCCGGTTTGGCTCAGCGGTTAGAGCGTCGGCCAACCGACTGAAAGGTCCCAGGTTCGATTCCGGCCAAGGGCACGGACCTCGGCTACAGGCTCGTTCCCCGGCCCCGGGTCGGGATGAGTGTAGGAGGCAGCCAGTCGACGTCTCTCTCTGTCTCTCTCTCCCTTCCACTGGGTCTGAAAAGTAATGGAAAAAATATCAGGTGAGGATTTAAAAGAAAAAAAACTGCTTTGGTCAATCTTACTTAATGAACGAGTTTGCATGCAGGAGTCGGGAAGGAGGTAGAGTTAGCTGGAGGCAGAATTTAGTATCTGGCTTCTCCAGCCTTGCTGTTCCCACATGCCCTCGTAGGGAGATGCCAAAGATAGCAGGAACTGGGTGTCAGACAGCTGCGGGCCTGGCGTTAGGGCCATGTGACCCTGTATCCATTTACTGGTGGACTCGTTTGCAGGATCTTGGCGGCCGCACACACCCAACTCAGTTTTCTCTACCTGTTCTTTATTTTTCATTTGCACGATGCAGTTAATTCAAAACCACGTCTAAATAGCATCCGGACACTTCCTTTCCGGGCACTTCAGAGCTCGCTCTGCGCTGTGGTCTCAGCGCTTGGGGCTTGGTGTTGAGTCACCTTTTGAGTCGGTAGCGAGGCCAGTGATGTGGAGATTTTATTAGCTGTTCTGCTCTTCCGTAGGTTTTTGTGGTTACGACTTTCTAGTGAGTCCTCCACTTTGTAGACATTGATTAAGCCTCAGCGTGAGACTGAAGCACGGGAATTACATTCCTAGAGGGGGAGCTGGGCTCAAGGATGGGAATGAAGGCAGATCCAAAAATGAACTGTGCCTCCGTCCGCACGCCTGAAATAGTAGCTGTGCTGGGGCGATGATCCCAGGATGTGACTCACAGACTCTCCCCCTCATCAGACATTAGCATTCGGGGTAATAAAGTAAAAAGAGCCCAGTCGGTGTGTCTCAGTTGGTTGAGCATTGACCCATGAACCAGGAGGTCAGGGTTCGATTCCCGGTCAGGGCACATGCCCTGGTTGCAGGCTCGATCCCCAGCAGGGGGGTGCAGGAGGCAGCCGATCAATGACTCTCATCATTGATGTTTCTCTCTCTCTCTCCCTCTCCCTTCCTCTCTCTGAAATCAATAAAAACATATTTTAAAAAACCTTTTAAAAATAAAATGAAAAGAGATGGTAAACTAGGAAACATTTCTAGAATAGTTTAGAAATCTGTGGCCATGACATCGGCCAGGACTTTGGTTTCATCTGTAGAAGGGTGACCATTGAGGGATCTCTAAGGCCCCTGTGTTCTATGGGATGCTACTGTGTGTGTGTGTGTGTGTGTGACTTCCAGTCTTTCCCTTGGGAATGCCCACGAGGGATAGTTATAGTTGGAACCAGTGATGTCAATATCTAAAGAGCTTCAGTAGCATCATAACTAAAACAGTCAGGGAATTACGTGTCCTTGGTCATTAAAATTTCAGCGTAACTGCAACACCCTTTTGAGTTTTTGACTTTGAAAAAAAATTTAATTGACCTGTGCTTTTTCAAACATGCTGTACTTTTGGGTGAGGGTTTTGGGAACATGCGTTTTTACAAATACCAGTAGGGTTAGGTATTATCCGGACATTGCTGAGTTTCGCTGTTCCAGAGTGAGTTTAAGCTGCTCAGTAAAACGGCTGGTATGTTTTTCAGACCTTCTCTAGGTGTTCGCATCTGTTTTTCTTCTCTGAATTTGGTTTCTCCTAACTCTATTTCTCTTCCCTCTGTAGCTGGGTATTACAGGAAATTTTAAGAAATGGGAACAGGGAATAAAGGTGTGGCCACAATCGGGTGGCACAAGGTTCTTGACTCTCCTGGCCTCCAGACAGACGTCACGTGGGAATTGTCAACCTCAGTTTTATTTCTGTTCGTGTGCTTATTATGAACTGCCTCAAATTCTTTGAAAACTGGCGAGATGAAGATCCTAAGTAAAACACTGTAGGTGTCCCAACTTAACAGAAGTCCCTGGCTTCTGAACCTGGCACGAGGCTTGTGAAAACAGATTGGTGCCAACCCTTGGGGGGGGGGGGCTCAGCCAAATAGGGAAGTCAAAGGTGCAAGAGGATAAATGCTATAAAATATTCTGCACGTGTTGATGGAAGAATGTACAAGATCCAGCCGGTGCGCAAAGGAAAGACAGGGTGACTCTCGGAGGAGGCGAGGTCTGAGCCGAGTGGGACAAGGACCAGGGAGGGGCTTGAAGGACGGTAACCCGGGGGGGACGCACGAACTCTGGATCTCGAGGCCGATTCCAGCTCTGCCCCCAGCTCGAGGTCACTTTCCCCATTTGCGGGAAGGACTGAGATAGACTAGAGGGCGCCTCAAATTCTCTCCAGATCAAGAAAAATCCCGCGCCGTTTTTGGACCCTGTCTAGGAAAAGGGCCGTGGAAGGAAGCCTCTGAAGGTAATTGCAGTCTATCTTCCCGGAGTCTTCTTTTCACATAATTAATTCAAAGGCCACAAGGTCTCCGTCTGCTACGGAGAATCTTAAAATAGATTTTGGACCATTCAAGCTTTTGGGTGGGGCTTGGCTCCCTGCTGTCATTAGGGAGCATTGCCTGAAATGTAAACCTCAATTTAAAATGATTTATCGTGTTGTGGCCTCCATCTGAGGAAACTCGGGGAGGGCACCGCAGAGGTCCTGGAGTCCAGGTCCCGCAGCTGCAGGTGCCTCTTCGTAGCCTCTCAGCTTCTCCAGTTTTGTCCTGAGGACCACAGCCAGCCTCCAGTGGCTAAAGAGCACAGTTTAGGTAGAGACTCATATACCGTTTTGGGGGAAAACGTAAAAATGACAGCCCCGTAGTAAAGCCTCATGCGACTAGAATGGCTTGCACTGCCCTGGCCGGGTCGCTCAGTGGGTTGGCAAGTCACCCCGGCACGCCATGGTTGTGGGTTCAATCCCCGGTCAGGGCGCATATGAGGACCAGGCAATGACGCATAAATGAGCAGAGCAACACACCAATGTATTTTCTCTCTCTCTTCCTCTGTCTCTCAAATCAATAAATTAAAAAAAAAAAAAAAATTTAAATTTCTCTCTCCCTTCCTCTCTGAAACCAATAAAAACGAAGGAAGGAAGGAAGGAAGGAAGGAAGGAAGGAAGGAAGGAAGGAAGGAAGGAAGGAAGGAAGGAAAGAAAGAAAGAAAGAAAGAAAGAAAGAAAGAAAGAAAGAAAGAAAGAAAGAAAGAAAGGAAGAAAGAAAGAATTCTCAGTAACATTTTCTCGCCTCAGAATCTTTACAGCCATAGGCTGAGGAGCCTCATTTTATGTTCCTAGGTGTTTAGATAGTCTTTGTGCCCAAAGAGTTTGAGTCCTTTCACCAGACTATGAACTACGTGATAAAAGGGAAATACTTTAAAATCAATTACAAAATAAAAAGGGGGCCCGGGGGAAATATAGGCAGAACGGAGAAATCCGAGGAGGAAAGAGTGTGTGCGGACAAGGGGGGCAGCCGAGGCGCTGCACAGCTCTTCAAATGGGGCCTCACGCTGAACTGAGCCTCCTGGCAGGCAAGGGAAAAAGGATAGGTGCAGCCTGGCCGCTGTGGCTCGGAGGCTGAGCATGGTCCCTGCACCACGAGGGCACTGGTTCGATTCCCGGTCAGGGCAGGTGCCTGGGTTGCGGGCTTAATCCCCAGTAGGGGGCGAGCAGGAGACAGCGGGTCAGTGTTTCTTTCTCTCATCCATGTTTCTCTCTCTCCCTCTCCCTTCCTCTCTCTCTAAAATCAATAAAAACATATTAAAAAAAAAATAGGTACAAAGCTGTCCCCATGGGAAATATTTTCTTCTGGACAAGCAAAGTTTTTCCAGGCCTTCCATTGGAAATATCACGTGTGTGTGGGGGGGGTTCTGACGGGCTTGTCCAGCTGCCCCTGGGCTGTCATTCTTGTGATGTGCCCCCCCCCCAGGGCCACCTCGTGTCTGATGTGGTACTTTCTTCCAGGGGCGATGCGCCGTTCCTCCCTGGACTCCGGCGTCCCCACCATCCCCGAAGACAGGAAGCTTTATGTGGTGGATTCCATAAACGACCTGCACAGACTCAACTTCTGCCCCTCGGGATCCCAGCACCTGCTCCGTACGTGCCCTCCGAGCCCCTGGCCCTCCCAGCTCCTAGGCCCCCTAAAACTGGCAGATGCTCCCCTGGGCTGTGGGTGTGGGGAGAGCAGGGGGCCTTGGAAGCGGCTTGCATGAGAATTGCGGCTGATCCTTAGGCCATATTTGCTTTTGTTCCCTGAATAGCCTGCAGGGGGTGGGCTTTCTGGGCTCCTAAGGGTTTCTTTCCCTGGAAGGGGTGGGGCTGGGAGTGGGTCTCCCACAGGCTGTTTGTTGCGCTTGTCCTGGCCACGGGCAGGCCACTGGGGTGCCCCGTGTCCTAGAGACGTCTCACTTCACAGTGAAGTGCTGAGAAAATGTTCCACATGTTTATCTAGGTTTTTGTTGTTGTTGTTTTTTAAAAAAAATTTTGTTGGGCAAAAAAGTCAACTTTACTCTCTGCTTACAAAAGACAGATTGCCCCAATTAAAGGGCTAAGGGGGGCAGGGAGAAAGCAGAACAAAAAACCTGCTAAAGACTAAACGTGCGCCTCGTCTCCTGCGCATTGTGACCGATCCCAGCAGAGCACGCTGAGCCCCGCCTTTCCCAGCCCAACCGCCCGCGTTCAACCCCGGGGGTTGTTTCATGTGCACACTAACCTCACACTGTCCCGATCTGCATCCTTCTAAATCTTGCTTTTCTCTTCAAAGTGTTCAGGGTTTCCACCTGTTTTAATTGCAGTCGGTCTCAATAGAAGTAGGTGTTTGGGTGCCTGCATATGTTGCTGCTTTGATGAGGAAGCTGCTGAGGGGGTGACGTAGGACGTATGGGACATGAGCCCCCGTCCGTCTATAATCAAGCAGCAGAGCGTGTGGGACCGAAGCAAAGCAGGAAAGGGTCGAAGATGCCCAGGTTTCTGTGTTTCACGTTGTTTAATTTGGGTGTCATCAGGCAGCCCCCAGAATGATGAGGGTCCGTGGTCTGGGTGAGCCAGGCTGTTTTATAAGCATCCTGCACCCTCTGCTCAAGGGCAGGGCACTGGCCAGGACCTTGTCTCCAGAGCACGTCCGTCCTGAAAACCACTTTAAGAACCAAAATACACCGGGGCCATTTTTTTAAAAATCTTTTTCTTTCCTATTTATTATTATTATTATTTTGTAAATGTTTTTATTGATTTCAGAGAGAGGACGGGAGAGGGAGAGAGAGATGGAAACATCAGTGATGAGAGAGTCACACTGACTGGCTGCCTCCTGCACGGCCCTGACTGGAGATGGAGCCCGCAACCCGGGCATGTGCCCTGACCGGGAACCGAACCCCAATCTCCCGGGTCCCAGGTCGATGCTCAACCGCTGAGCCACGCCAACAGGGCCACGGCCATTTTTGGTTAATACGGGTACAGGATTCACTGATTTTTTTCTGTCGTGAACGAGGTTCCTGGGAGATGCCCCAGCGTGTCCAGGCTTTCGACCCCCACAGGTGACCCAGGCCCAGCTGTTTTCACTCTGAGGTCCCTCTGGGAAAAGGGCAACAGAGTCTTCGCTCTGAACCCTTAACCTCTTGACCCCTCCCTCCACCAAAGAAAAATCCGTGTTCTGCTACTTCAGCATCAACAGGATCTTCAAAGAACTTTCCAAGGTGGGGTGAGGAGCCAGCTGGGCCCTGCTTATCTCTGAATATCAAGTAGGAGTAAAGGATCCCCAGAGTCTTCCTTGGGCATCAGTCCCTCATCCCTCCCTAGGGACGGTCCAGCCCTGCTGACCTGTGTGGGGGGAGCCTTGGTGAAGGTCCCTGTTGTCTGTTTTGGGCCAGCCCTAGAGGAGAAAGCCGCGGATGCCGGCGCGGGCGCGGGAAGCGGAAGCTCGGGTCTGCTCCTCCTGGGGCTGCTGGTCGTGCTGGTCCTCAGCCTGGCGCTGGTCTCCTTGGTGATATTTCTCGTGAGTAAGTACCGCGAGCTGTCCTTGCCTGTGCCGCTTCCTTCGCAGCTGGCGGTTCGGGTGAGCCCGCAGGCCCGGAGGTCCGCAGGCTTGCAGGCCACACGTTTCCGCAGCACTCGAGTTTCTCTCAGGGAGCCCCCAGCGGTCAAGTGGTAGGAGTTTATTCTAGTTCATTCTAGGCTTTCTTTTCTTATTTTAATTTTTTTTATTTAATCCTCACTTGAGGATATTTTTCAGAGAGTGTGGAAGAGGGGGGAGAGACAGAGAGAGAGAGAGACATCGGTGTGAGAGAGACACATCAATTGGTTGCCTCCTGCACCAGCCCCGACCGGAGCCAGGGATCGAGCCTGCAACTGAGGTACGTGCCTTGGTCGGAATCGAACCCAGGACCCTTCAGTCCGCGGGCCGACGCTTTAACCACGGAACCAAACTGGCTAGGGCCATTCTAGGTTTTCTTAACCCATTGCATAGATTTTTAAAGAAATGTTTTTTAATGATTTCAGAGAGAGGAAGGGAGAGGGGGAGATAAACACATCAATGATGAGAGTCATTGATCGGCTGCCTCCTGCAAGCCCCCTGCTGGGAATCGAGCCCCAAACCTGGTCATGCGCCTTGACCGGGAATCGAACCGTGACCTCCTGGTTCACAGGGTGACACTCAACCACTGAACCACACTAGCCAGCCCAGTGCATAGATTTCTCCATTCATTTGGGCCTATAGCATGGAGTCCCACTCGGTTTCCAACTCCTTCATGTGCATCAGTCCTCTGAAATGTCACCCCAGCACAAACAGATGCTTCAGACATGGTCCTGCGTGCCCGCCGGGCGGGGGTAGTGACTAGTTAAACTGCTGGGAAATTTCAGGTGTGCTTGCTGGCATGGGAGCAGCCCAAAGGGATGCCTTTCCCTGTGGGGTGATAACTGGTGAGATGAAGGACCATGATAATAAAAAGATGCCGCATGTGGGGTGCTCGCTGTCTCCCAGGCACCTGCTGAACACTTGATGTCCGTCTGCCTGATGCTGGACTCAGGCTGAGAGAGATAAACGGACCTGCCCGAGGTCACACGGCTCACAAGCGCTGGCTCGGGGCTCAAAAGCGTCAGAGGCCTCCCATTTTAATACCATTGTGATGCTGCTCTTGTAGGAAGAGGGTTTATTTTATATTCGCATCTAGCGTTCTCTATTGACGGCAAAGTCGTATTAAGGAAAAGAAAGAAGCCCGGCCGGGTGTGGCTCAGCGGTTGAGCATTGACCTAGGATCCAGGAGATCGAGGTTTGATTCCCGGTCAGGGCACATGCCCGGGTTGCGGGCTCGATCCCCGGTGGGGGGGTGCAGGAGGCAGCCGGTCAGTGACTCTCTCACCATTGATGTTTCTCTCTCTCCCTTCCTCTCTCTGAAATCAATAAAAACATATCTTTAAAAAAATGAAACAGAAAGAAGACTTGAATAAAGAGGTGTCTTTTTAATGGACAATGACTTTGTGCCAGACACATAAATCCGTTAACTTAAACCGTGCTCTGCCCCTCAAGGTCGAGCCTAGTATCTCAGTTTCACTGATGAAAGCCCATGGTTCAGAGAGCTCGGCTCTCCACGCACTCCCAGCAGAACTGGGCTTCCAACCCGGGCCTGACTGGCTCCGGACACACTCCACTGGCCCAGGTCGAGCAGGCTGGCACCAGGAGTCTGGAAAAATAAGTCACCTGATAGGTAACCTCAGTCATAGTCACCTGATAGGTAACCTCAGCCTGGACAGGTCTCTCCTGCCTCTGGGCAGCGGAGCTGCTGGCTGTCCAGGGCTCAGCCGAGCACCATCGCGGGGCCCGGATGAGCCACCACGGGACACACTGGACACCAAGGTAACGTCCTGTTTTCCGTTTTCAAGTTCAGACTGGAAACAAGATGGACAACGTGTCGAGAAGACTGGCGGCTGAAGGGAAGGACATAGACGACCTCAAGAAACTCAACAGCATGATCGTGAAGCGACTCAACCAGCTGGAGTCGGAACAGAACTAGGGCGGCGCTATTCCAAGGGCCCCCGCTTTGCTGGGCGTCGGGGGGCGAGGAGCCCAGCCCAGCGTTTCCCATTCGGCAGGCAGCCCATTGTCCCGACAGTGAGCCCGCCCTGGGGTCACAGCCCTGCCACGGGGATGGGAACACCGCGGAGGCCAGGGGGTGGGGGACAGAGGCCACTGGCCCTCGTTTCATGGCCAGTCCTTCTACTTGAATGGGGGTAGGGGGGTGGCTGGCGTGAAAGACACCCAACAAGAAGCAAGAGGCTCCGGCCCTATGCGCACACTCCCCTCCAGGGTGCTTTGTCTACAAAACAAGGTCGCTGTCCCGGCGTGGTTCCCAGGGCCACCCCCACCTTTGTAAACTCCCACAGTGAGCGACAGCGTTTGTGTCCAAGGGAACCAGGTGATCGATCATCTTTTTAATAAAAGATATTCTGCCCAGGGGGTTAAACTTGGACTCCTTTCCCCAGGGAGGGGGATGGGTGGGCTGCCGAGCCGGTTGCCTCCTGGCATTTGCTAGTCGCTGGGTGTGTAAGGAGGGGCTGGGTCACGAGAGAGGCCGTTTATTCGAACAGTGCTTAGTGAGCTCTGTCTGCAGACGGCCGGCTGTGGAGACACTTACACTCAAGTGGGGGCAAAGGAGGTGGATCCTTACATACAAATGCAGGGCCTTCATTGACTTTGTTTCTCACGGAAAAAAAAGTCCTCAGTACCCTGCTGGTTGATTTGGAAGAAATCTGGTCCGTCTGTGGCCTTTACTCAGCTACAGCAGGAAAAGGTACATCCGGGATATTTGGCACCTGCCCTGTGTTAGCACAGGAGGTGAGGCACACGGTTTATAAGACAGGGTGTGACAGACATGAGCTTACGCAGCACACGAGTCCTAGACAATCTTTAATATAAACGTTGTGCTCGTCTATGGAAGAATCTGTGAAGATTTCGTCATTTTGGGTTGATCCAGGACATTTGGGCTTACCTTACAATTAAACACATACGCACAAACACACATTTAAAAAATATATATATCTTTATTGATTTCGGAGAGAGGAAAGGAGACGGAGAGAGAGAAACATCAGTGATGAGAGAGTCATTGATCGGCTGCCTCCTGCATGCCCCCGACTGGGGATTGAGCCCGAAACCCGGGCCTGTGCCCTGACCAGGAATCAAGCCGGATCTCCTGGATCCTAGGTCGATGCTCAACCACCGAGCCATGCCGGCTGGGCACAAACACACATTTTATAACAACACTAAATAGTTAATGAAATGAACACAGGTGTTTTCTTATCCATTTTCACACTCACTCAAAACATTTGTCCTGCACACACTTTTTCTTAACCTTGAGAGCTAAGAAATAAATAAGCCATTTATTTTTTAACATTTATTTTTATTTATTGTTTCAATTACAGTTGATGTACAATATTATATCAGTTCCAGGTGTAAAACCCAGTGGCTAGACATCTATATAACTTATGAAGTGATCACGCCGATAAACCTAGGACCCATCTGACACCATAGTTACTAGAATATTACTGACTATATTCCCCCGGCTGTACTTTACATCCCCAGGACTGTTCTGTAACTGCCAATTTGTGCTTCTTAATCACTTCCCCTTTTTCACCCAGCCCCCCAACACCCTCCCACCTGGCAACTGTCAAAATGTTCTCCGCATCTATGAGTCTGTTTCTGTTCTGCTTGTTCATTGATTGTTTTTTAGATTCCACATATAAGTGAAGTCATCTGGTATTTGTCTTTGTCTGACTTCGCTCAGCACAATACCCTCCAGGTCCATCCATGTGGTTGCAGGTGGCAAGATCCATTCTTTCTTCATGGCCGAGTCATAGTCCATCGTATATACGCGCCACTGCTTCATCCACGGCGATGGACACTGAGGTTGCTTCCGTGTCTCAGCTGGTGTAAATGATGCTGCAGTGAGCACAGGGGTGCCCGTGTCTTTTTGATTTAGAGTTTTGGGTTTCTTAAGATAAATACCCAGAAGTGGGGTTGCTGGGTCCTCCTTTGTCTCTTGTAGCCTTCGTGTGTGTGTGTTTAAATATCTTAATTGATTTCAGAGAAAGGAAGGGAGAGGGAGAGAGATAGAAAATCAATGATGAGTCATCGATCGGCTGCCTCCTGCATGCCCCCTACTGGGGATCGAGCCCGCACCCGGGCCTGTGCCCTGACCGGGAATCGAACCCCCATCTCCTGGATCCTAGGTCGATGCTCAACCGCTGAGCCACTACGGCCAGGCTGTAGCCTTTGTTTTAAAGTCGACTTTGTCTTCTATAAGTATTGCTACTTTTTTGTTTTGATTTTTTATGAAACACATCTTCCATCCCTTTACTTTCAGCCTGTGTGTGTCTTTCGATCCGAAGTCAGCCTCTCGCAGGCAGCATAGGGAAGGGTCCTGTTCTGTTGTCCATTCAGCCACCGCGTGTCTTTTGATTGGTGCGTTTAACCCATTCAGTTCCTCCCCACGCGTCCCTGGTGCTTTTTGAGCTGCGGCCCCCGCTGGAGCTCAGAGGGCGTGAGTCCAAGTAAGACCCTGCGAGGGCCCTTCAAGAGGAACACCTGGGCCCGGCCGGGCGGGGCTCAGCTGTTAAGCGTCGACCCAGGATCAGGCGATCAGGGTTCGATTCCTGGTCAGGGCACATGCCCGGGTTGCGGGCTGCAGCCGATCAATGACTCTCTCATCATTGATGTTTCTATCTCTCTCTCCCTCTCCTTTCCTCTCTCTGAAATCAATAAAGATAAATTTCAAAAAAAAAAAAAAAATCTGGGTGCTAAGACGAGTGGGTAAATGCCGGATTAAGAACAGGAATGAAAAAAAAAAAAAAAAAAAGAGGAACACCTGGGACTCCAGCATCCCTCCCTCTCACTCAGCCAAATCCCCCTGGTTTTTACAGCCAGAAGTTATGGGGACTTCTCTTCTTGGCACTGGGGGGGCTGGTGTGGGGCTGGGACCCCTCGCTCCTCAGGGGAACCTCCATAGCCAAGATAACCTTCCCGATTTTTATCTGCCACACGTGGGTGTGGGACCAGCCCGTTGCCTCTCTGCCCCTCAGTGTGGCTTCTTCTTTAATCCCCTGGTGGTAGGATTCCCATTCGGCTCAGTTTCGGGCGGTTCTGAACGATGGTTGTAGTATGTTTAGGTGTAATTTTGACGTGGTTGTGGGAGGGTGTGAGTGCTGTGTTTACCTCCGCCCGAAGCCTGAAGCCTGACCGGAAGGCCTCTCTGCTGCCTTTTAAATGTTGCAACAGGACTCATTATTCGAGCCTGAGTCCTCAAAGAAATGGCTCGTAGCCAGTCATTCCCTCAGGAATGTCCTTCCTGAGCGTGGAGAGTCCTGCCACGGAGCACTTACTGAGTGATGAACAATGCGGCCGCCCAACAACAGGAAAACAGCTAATAATTTAATTATGGCTTCCCAAGCGCTAAAAATGCCTAACTCTCCAGGCCCTAAAATGACTGTGAATATTACCATAAACAGGTTAAATAAGAATTCTACTCTGCCTCTCCCCCACCCCCAGCCTAGCAAACGTCTTTAATATTGATGAGTTGGCATCGACATCTGAATTACTGTAAGTTCACTGAGGGGTGCTCAGAATCGGTTTCTTATGGGCTCGGAAGAAACAATGGAGAAGACATTAGGCGCCCGGAGCTGCAACCTAGCACCTGTTTTCAGACCTTCATTCAGTACAGGTGGTGGGAAACCCGGGCTCCTTCCGCGTGACTTGTAGACGTCAGGAAGGAATCTTCCCTAAGGGTTCCCTGATCTATTTGGGCCTGAAACTTCATCTGAGCCCCTCGGGGGCTGCCTTGCAGTGGCATCCGTGGGTTGTACACTTTGATCTTCTCCTCTGGGCATCCTCGGGGTGGAGTCCACGGCTCAGTGAAGCGACTGTGATTGAGTAAGTCAGGAGGCGTTTCCCCGCTGCCTCCTGGCCTCCCGTTGCCATGAGAGCTGAGTCTGCTCACTTATAGGAGAGGAGGGACACCTGGTGGCAGTCGGTGACTTCAGGGGAAGGAGGTCAGCTCGAAAGGAAGAAAGGAGGCAGAGTGAAAATTCATTGCGTGATACCTGAGGGAGAGGGAACAGTTGCATCAGACATAGGACAGCTGGGGGCTTCGTCTGGGGAGAGTGGCTTTGGCTGAGCAATCTTTTTTTTTTTTTTTTAATATGTTTTATTGATTTCAGAGAGAGGAAGGGAGAGGGAGAGAGAGAGAAACATCAGTGATAGTCATCGATTGGCTGCCTCCTGCACACCCCCTACTGGGGATGGAGCCCGCAACCCTGGCATGTGCCCTGACCGGGAATCGAACAGTGACCTCCTGGTTCATGGGTTGACGCTCAACCACTGAGCCACACCAGTCGGGCCTGAGCAACCTTTCACAGTGTGAGATGAAAACCCCAAACCCACGTTCTACAACCTGGAGATTTTGTTTACTGGCCAAGACGCCTCCATAAAGACTTAGGACCCCTGTCAGGCACGGTTGACGAACCTTGTGCGGCTAAAATCCAGGGAGCAGACTCATGGATGCGTGTGTCACACCTAGAGAAGGTACCAAGCCCTGATTACACCTGCACACAGTCTGGTGACCAGAAACTAAAGCTGTCAAAACCCGACGCAGGTGGCCTCTTAAAGAGACAGCATTCCCAAAACGGCCTGATCGGCCTGAACAACTCTTTTCATTACCATGAATTCTGACTTTATTTGTCTCTCTTTCAGGGAAGGGACATGCCCTTGTTTACATTTTCTAATCTATTATGAAAGGGGGAAACTTTTCTGGTTATTGGGCCTGTTTTCAAGAACTTGGATCTGCCCCAGATAATAAGGCTCTTATCAAGTCTGAGCTCCTGGATCAAACAGACCACATAGACAAAGTTTGTTGTGTTGTTTTAATTTTGTTCTGTGCCCTGACCAGGGGTCACACTGGCAACCTTGGCGTATCAGGACAATGCTGTAATCAACTGAGCTACCCGGCCAGGGCCCGGACTGCAGTCCGTTCTTTTGCCCCAATAAAAATCCTGTTGGTGGCAGAATACCTAGTGATTTTGTTTTTCCAGTTGACAGCATACATGTAAATATATGTTACCCAGTGAGCACATGTCAAACCTGTATTTTAATCCATTCATGAGGGACCCATTAGGATGACAAAGCTGCTTCAAAGGGGAATGCAGGCAGCTGGCCTGTATACAAACCAATGAAAAAGGAAACTCCTGGATGCAGTGGATAAATTAGATAGAAAACTGGTTAAGGCTGTGCCCCCAGCAGAGGTCATCTGCATTTTCGCAAGAGGAGATAATTCACATGGCCAGCCTGGGGGACAACATTTGCATCTCTATTACAGAAGGCTTGCAGCTTAGTTTTCTGCAAGTTAACTTTTGCCCTTAAATGAGTAGTGAGCCCTGCCCGGCCGGTGTGGCTCAGTGGTTGAGCATCAACCTAGGACCCAGGAGATTGCGGCTCGATTCCCGGTCAGGGTACATGCCCGCGTTTCGGGCTCGATCCCCAGTACGGGGCGTGCAGGAGGCAGCTGATCAGTGGCTCTCATCATTGATGTTTCAACTCTCTCCCCCTCCCTTCCTCTCTCTGAAGTCAATAAAGATACATTTAAAAATAGATATACATATTTATTTAAATAAATAAATAAGTAGTGAAATGCCCTAACTGTAAGCAAAATTGTTGGGGTCCAAAGAGCCTTGAGTGGCCTCTCTGATGGGGCCCTACCATGAGGAAGGCCAGGGGCATCTTCTGTCCTGTTTACCTCGCCCCGAGGATATTTTTCCCCCACTGATTTTGAGAGACACTGAGGGGGAGGGAGGAAGGGGGAGAGAGAGAAAGAGAAACATCCATGTGTTTGAAACCCTGCGCCCCTCACTGCCTAGGCTTGTGCTCCTGGCCCGGGGAATCAACCCCTTGACCTTTCCATGGGGGGTGGGGTGGGGGGGGCAATGCTCTAACCACTGCGCACACTGGCCCCCTGGCCCAAGGCCCTGGTTTCTGTTTTACTTGTAGTTCAGGTTCTGCCGGGTAGGGTCTGGCGTTCGCCTGGTACAGTCATCAGGTGAGTTCATGCCTTGAAGGTTGGAAAGTGTTTGGGACTCGCCTGGGGTGAGACCTGTTTTCATGACCCCCGCGCCCTCCGGCCCAGGTCACGGGCAGGTTCATGACCTTTCTTCCGCTGTGTCACCCTGCACCCTGCTGCGTCTGCACTCGGACTGGGTGTCACAGCTGTGCCGTGACTCTCCCTTTAGGCGGGGCACAGCTGCCTACTGACCCTGCACCGGG